ACACACACACACACACACACACACACACACACACACACACACACACACACACACACTTTGCTCACTTTGCTCAGTTAGTTTAGTGGAGCCAGTTGAGGTGATTTTGTTGCGTAAATTCAACACTTCATGTTTTAGAGTGCAGAAACATCTTTCATGACGAGTTTGAACATGTTTAATTTTGTAACAAGTAACTAGGTGTTACATTTTAAAGTAAAGAAGTAAAAGTATCATTTTTAGCTCTAAAATGTTACAAAATAAAAGTAAAGGTAGTTATTTAAAAAATCATTGCTAAAATTACAAATCCTCAAAAAACTATTTAAGTACTGTAATGAAGTAAATGTACTTAGTTACTATATACCTCTGATAGTTTATTATCATTTGCAGTTGTGAAAGGTGGGCAATCATCTAATTATCTGTTCATCTGTCAGTCCATTAGCAAAACATACAGTATCTCAACTCAATGGACAGGAAACCTTCTGAACTTAATCATTGAAAGAACTACAAGTGATTAACTTCTGGAGCTGACCTGGTTCAAGATGGCTGCCACAGCTAATTGAGCTTAGCAAACCCAACAAAGCTATAACCCAGTCAATTCTACAGTCACTGAGCTAAATTTTGTTGTGGTCTGAGAGTCGTACCCATCACATGCTCTGCATGCTAACAAATCAAACGGTCGTTGTTTGGAACTTTGGCACGTAAGAGAGCAGACAAGATGCATTTTTTCTTTGGCACCAGCATTTGACTGGGCGTTTTATCATCATCCATCTGCTATCTGCAGATAAAAGTTGGTCTGTGCTGTCACGACATCTTGTGCAGCGCAGGGTCTGATAATGAAACTTACATCAAACAGGCCTTGTATTTACAGTAAAGACACCAAGTAAAAGTAAAAATAACTTAACAGAAAATGACTATTAAAAATTAATTTCACTGATGAGAGAAATAGTTAAAAGTCAGAAAACTGTTCAYAAAAATTGGGAAAGTAAAAGTAAATATACTTTTACAAACTCTCTAAGAAATAAACTATAGAATTTACTGAACCCTTTAACAGTCTTTGTTTTACCAGTGGGCAAAAACGGTTTGGTTTCTGCTGTAAACGTTTACAGACACTATCGGGGGCTTTTATTTTGTAGACTAGGGTGTCAGACAACTTCCTCCGTTTTGTACCTATAGTTAGGCACCCTTAAAAAATGTCAAAAAGCTTTTAAAGAATTTCAGGGTGTCTGTTAACCAAACCAAGGTTAACCAAACTGGTTCCACTAAACCAAGTGGAGAAAATATTCTTGCCTCATATTTACTCTACTAGTTTTATTGAAACCAGCTGACATGACTTGGTTGAGTAAATTCAACACTTATATTTTTTTTAGAGCGAATGAACAATTCCTTTCATGATGAGATTGGACACATTTAATTTTGTAACAAGTAATTAGATGGTAAATTTTAAAGTAAAGAAGCAAAAGTATCAATTTTAGGTTTTAAATGTAACAAAATAAAAGTGAAAGTAATAATTAAAAAATAATTGTTAAAATTGCAAATCCTCAAAAAATTACTAAAGTACTGTAACTAAGCAAATGTACTTAGT